CCCCCCCCCCACACACACACACCCTTAGCTGGCTGCACCTTTCGCAGAGTAGTTTTTTTGAGCGTATGTTTGTGTGATTTTTTGTGTAAAACACAGGATCAAAGCTCTTTTTTTAACTCATCCTTCCTATGTGTGTGTGTATTCTAAACTGCAAAGGTAGCACACTACGTTGCGAAAGACCCTGGACATTCGTTCCCCCATGTTTGTCATGTGTGTGTGTTTCGCCGGACGGATGTTCTAAACTGCAAATATCGTTCTGCATTGCATCTTGATGTTGTGTGTGAATGACAATAAACAATTCTTGATTCTTGAATTAGTTGTTGTGCATTTTCTACACTTTTCAAAAATATGACAACAGACTCCTCCTCCTTGTTCTCATCTCGACAATAACTGACGTGAGGGGGTTACGCTACACATCAAAACCTGAATGGGTTGGTTTATCCAGTCTTAGCTTTTTGGTGCCGAAGCAGGAAGTCACAGCTAAATATAAACACATCTCTATCGGACCTGGCCACTCCCTAGGAGCAAGCTGTCACATCGATTGGGCGGCCTCCCTATCACGTCACCAGATCCTTAAACAACGGACTGAATTCTAATGAGAAACTAGTTTGTGAGTGATGAAAGTCATGCATTAACTAATTATATCAAGCAAAGTACATTCTGTTTGAGTTGACTGTGGCATGTCATTCAAAACAGATTGCACTTCAACTAAATCACAGTTTAATCATAAAAATAGATAATTACGCAAAATAGGTTATCAAAAACWGTTGTTTTATCCTGCTTTTAAATCCTTTTTCATACATTTAAATCATACAGTTAGGGTCWATRTAAAGTGGAACTGCAATGCTTTGGTCTGAATTCCTTCTTATTGYAACTCCACAAGCTCCGCCCCTTTTCTGAGGTGTGCCTCTGATCAACTCATTTTGAGGCTGTCTCTTTAAATAAAAATGAGGTGCATAACAGCCCCCGCCCCCTCCAGACGGTCCATTTTAGTTTGATAGAGAGGTTAACGACTAAATAGTGTCAAAAAACCTTTATTTACAAATGAATTAAAGGATGTCAACAATGGATATACTTGTACACTTGTTTACATTATGGGTTTTTAAAAAGGTACTTTATTGGTCATCAATGCATGTTCCCATACAAGGACGAAATTTGTGCTCTGCATTTGACCCATCATACATGAGAAACACCCAAGTGTAGCAGCAGGAAGCTATGTAAGCACCCAGGGGAGCAGTTGGGGGTTGGGTGTCTTGCTCAAGGACACCACGACATGTGGGCATGGCGGGGAGTCAAACCTGTGACTTTCGGGTCCCAAGCTGGGCTGCTCTACCACTACACCACAGCCGCCCCAAAATCACATCACGTTACTGACATTAGTGACTGCGCTAAACAGTGGTGGGCAGCACTATTCTAAAAATTAGTTCCACTAGACGTAAAACACTAACTCAAATATTTAGGTCCCCTAATTCTAAAAGCACTAACACACTGAAATTTTTAGCAAAAGCTAATTCTAAAGCACTAAAATAACCCAGTCAACCCATTAACATTCTTCAACAGACAACATGAGTGACATTTTGCCATGTTGCTCTCTTAAGACTTATCATTGACATTACACAGCCGTATTTGGGTTCATATATTGTCACCTGGTGGATAAGWGACACACATATTAATAAAATGTGCGACAACTTTCACCRTCAGCTGTTTACATTAACGTTGATCAATAACATTTATAGACCTCAGTTAGTGCTTCTAAATTTAGCCTGTAAATTTAGCAAGTGCTAATCCACTAATAAAGTTTAAAATTAGCAAAAGCCCTAAAGCACTAATCAGGAAATTAGTTCCCCTATTAGTGCTTTAGGGAAACTGTGAACAACACTGATGCTAAAAGGTCCAGTCTGACTATCTATTAGCTCCACACTAAGAATTTTGACCTTGATTCTCTACTCAGATTGTTCTATCTACTGCAGGTAAGATATTATCTACTCATAAGTTCTGCACAGTAACCCACCTAAAAAGCCTGAACATTTTCTTAAGGATTATTGTCCATCTGAATTCAAACTGAGCAGAAACAGTGAAGTCATGGAAATTAAAGCCCTAAATTGACCTCAGATTCCTTAATTAGGACAGCAAAACGGACAACACTGTGACCTAACATGTATAACTAAAATAAACATTTTACGGGGCTTTTAAGTTCCACTGTGTTTATTTGAAGGCGATCTGGTTTCACAGACAGTCCACCCCTGGATTACTACAACTCTGATCATGAGGATTAAATTTACAGCTAGATGTCGCGGGCTTAAAGGGTGACATGAAAACCAAACTTTGAGCAGCAAATTTAAATGGTCTAAAATTGTTCCTYCAATCTCCTGTAAAGTTTCACTTGAAACATTTTATGTGAGGCCTCGCGGGGCACTTAGTGAAGACAGGTGGATTAAAACTTCAATGCACCGGCCCTTTTCTTTTGGTTCTTTCACGTCTTATTTTATCTGCGAAGTGATGCGATGGCATTTATTAGAGCCTCCATATGTTTAAGAGGTTTTCTTTGTCCCACTGCATAGCTCCATGGTTCCTGTTTGGCTTCAAAGGCTCTTCTACTCAGTAACTGCCTAATGCCTCTCAGATGTGTGCTGCACCAAGGCAACATGCTCCAATCGCTTGTCTCTTCTATGCACAGAATGCAAATGTTAACATTAAGGGGCCCATTAGAGGGTCCGGCCTACTTTCAGTGTTCAGAGCACTTATAATTCACGATGAACCCACAGGTCGCTGTTCGTGTKCTGGGATTCGTAAAGCATTGCAAACAAATCAAAATTTGAAATGTAAAAAATAAAAACATACAATCAAATGATGGATCAGGATTCCTATCATTTGAAATCAACTGTTCTTGCAGTATGCTGTTATAATTTGATGGCACGGATTACAAATATAAATCTTTGCAACAACAAATGTCTAACATATGTTTTAAAGAATAAAAGTCATAAACAAATGCGTGGCCTGGAAGGCCTCTGATCCAAAATTTATCTTGGAAAAGAAAACGGGTCAGCAAAGCAGCAAGACATCAGAAAAGTTCCCTGTAACTTTCTTCACAGTTGCTTCGCTTAATTACAGGCAAACAATGAAATATGTGTGAATAGAAAAGCACCGAGGAAAGAGCTAAGGCTTCACACTTAATCCCCTCACAGAGACTTTTAATGAAAAGTCTCAAATGCGCGTAAAAATTCTGTGAACGTCAGCAGAGGTGAAAGAACGTACCTGAGGGCCGATTTTTCCGACATTTCCGACGTCCCCCTTCTCCCCCTGAAAGAAGGAAAATGATTAGCTTCTGTAAATAAAGACGTTTCCAAAATCACTCTGCTCACAGGAAATTAACTGTTAAAAGAAACACACATGCTCACAGACTACACAGGGCTGTGAATAATTTTGTGTTCCATGATGTGCTGCAACATCGCGGAAGAAGGAAATCATTTTCTCCTCCCTAATTAAGGCCATCTCGAAAGCACCGTCTAAGGTTTTAATGGGGTACGATTCTTAAAAAACACCAGTGCTACGAATAAACCATGAATCCTTTGTTTAGGAAAAAAGTAAGAATCATGAGAATGTTTGATATTCTGATAAAGAAAGCGCACTTGTGAGTGAGTTCTAAAGCCAATTACGACTCTGCTACTGATTAACCCGCAGAGAACTGGCACAAAAACAGCAAAGACATAACAAAGAAACCCATCAGCCACATGAAGCCAGAGGCGTAAACCTTCACAGCTGGCTGTGTGGCTGCTGTGGCACTGAGGGGGACTGACTGGTTCTTGCCTTGTTGGAAAATGGTGGTTTTAACYGACCCGCTCCAAAGATGCTGAACTGACCTCAATGTTGGTTCTAYCATTTCCTCGCTTGCTGGTGGATGAACGGTATCAAAGTGTAATGCAAGCGTAGCAGCTGGTATTTAAAACRTTGATCACAATCATTCAATTCAAACTGAATTTATTGTTAACTAGATACCGCATAGCAGTAACATAATGACCCCCACATGATCAAATGCACCAGAACTCAGAAGTCTTTATTCCTAATTAAAGTCATGCTACTAGGTGCATCCCAAAGTTGTAGTGGTTTGGGTGGGGGGTCTTTTTTTGGGAGGGGGGCATGGATAGCCCCTCATCAGAGCTAAATAACCAAAGAATATCTGAAGCTCCTATGTCTAATAGTTTTTGAGCAATAACCATTTTTATATGTCCAGATACCCCTTTTTCTGATAAATTGGGGGTCCGGATTGGGGGGGCGACACAGATTGGTGGGCCTGATGGATAGAGCTTCATCTGAGCTAAACAACAAAAAAATCTGAAGCTCCTATGTTGAACAGTTTCTGAGTTATAATCATTTTTGCATGTCCAGACACCCCCTCTTTGAAAGGAGCCCCCTCCTCAAATTTGGGGTGTATCGTAAAACCGTTGGCTGGCRCAGTGTAGGTCAGAYTCATCTACAGCCCTGCCAAATTTCATATYGATTGCTGCAGCCATTTTTGTGCTACGGTTGACCAAAAATCACTGGAAAAAAAAAACAGTTCAAAAACAATATGACTCCCGCTTACGCTTCGTGTGCGGGGGTCATAACAAGGTGGAACGTTGGTGTTGATTGGCCTCCGCCTGCCCTAGACATGTCTGCCTTTGAAAAATGTGTTAGTTTTATATTACCAATCATCAAAAATGATCTTGACCTTTGACACTTTGATATCCAAATCTAATCCGACTGAGTACTACCCTAATGAAGTATGCCTATTGAACTGGACATGTCTCCCAATCTTTTCTACTGTTTTACAGATGGATCCCTTCTGAAGGGGTCAGTGGTTGCAGGGGTGCTGACTGTGCACAACCATAGTGAGAAAGAAGTACAAATACCCACCAGGTTGTTTTGCAACTGTATCGCAAGCTTAGAAATACAGTATACAATCCACCAGTGTGTGGCATCTCTCAAAGACCTTCAGTGTACACAGAAATATTCATCCTAACAGATAGCCAGGCTGCTATTAGAGCTCTCCGAGGGCCAAACTTTACATCCTTGCTTTCGTGGGAGTGTGCCGATGTAGTTGACCAACTGGGGAGAGATAACAGTGTTACTGTTAAATGGGTACCAGGTTGGCATTTATGGTAATGTGAGAGCTGACTGCCCTCCAAAAGCTGGCAGTCAGGCCCACTTCAAAGGACCAGAGCCTGTTGTAGGAACCTCAACAACAGTCTGTAGGACTGCCTGCCCTACAGGCCTGGATTAGACGTCAACACTCAGACTGCTGTTGGGAGCTGATGGACTGTAGAAAGGCACAGGAACTGATAAATGGGCCACATCTAAGGTTTGTGGAAGCTCTCATCACCCTGACAATAAAAACTTTAAGTACACTGATTGGAGTCCTAACTGGGCAAAACTTCAATCGCCACAAAATGGTGATGGGACTCCATGACACTAGTCTGAGTTATGCCTGTGGCATTGATTTAGAGACCTCATTGCACTACTTAAGCCACTGTCTGGCTCTGAGCAGTCAAAGGAAAATAATTCTTGGAGAACCTTTTATGGATCCTAAGAAGCTCAGAACACTAAATGTTTCGAACCATGTGTCCTTCATCCAAGAGATGCAAAGGTTTGAATAAAGACCAGTGTCTTTTTGGGGAGAGCGATTGGCCCACTTACGAGACCCTGCCTATGTGGGTTCTTTATCCATCCCCAGTCACCATAACCATACTATGCCTATTTATAAATAAATATGCACGTCATGCACACAAGACCACCTGTGACAGACAGACACCACACTAACACACAGATAGCCAGAGAACAGGGCGGAGGCACAAAAAGAAGTCCCAGAGTGAATAAGAATACACGAGTATAGCAAATAAGATCAGTCTGGAATCAAACTCACCGTTAGACCTTCGATCCCAGGTTCACCCGGGTGACCTTTCCTTCCAGCTCTTCCCTACAAAAAAAAAAAAAAGTTTACAGAGGACTGCTTTTTTACAGAACATAACTGATCGTTTTATCTGCAATACAAAGAGCATGTCTGTGTGTAGTTGTGTATTCAAGTGCAGATGGAAATTCTTACAATAGGGCCAATGCTGCCAGGTGGGCCGAGTGGTCCTTCATCACCCTGCAGAAACACAACACAACTAATTCAACTAACATATTCACAAGCACATTTACATTCTCTGTAGCTAAACACAAACAATGTGTTCTGCTTCCAGAACATTTGGTAACAACATTTAAACTAGTGCTGGGCACATTAACTCATTCACTATCACGTTAGCGCAGCCGAACAGCGATCTTTTTTTCTAGGGATGCACCGATATGAAAATTTCAGCCGATATCGATAACTGATATAATTATTGCTGTTATGGCCGATAACTGATATTTACCAATATTACACAAACTCACAAATTATATTAGACAGATATGCACAAACACACTTGGGTCTTTTTTTGATACCATAAATAAACAACCAGACCTCTGACATGGCTCTACTTCAGTTATTCCTGGTCACACAGCATCAAAATCACTATCTTGATCAAACAGATGCCACTCAACCAACCATCTCCCCTCCCAAAACAGAAACACAAAGCTAAAAAGTGGGAAATCAATTTCGGACATTAATTTCAGCCCAGTTTTACATATCGGACCGATACCGATTTTCTAAAAAATGACCAATATTGGCCGATATACCGATATTAATGCCAATATATCGTGCATCCCTAATTTTTTTAATGCGCATTAACACATTAATTTTTTTCTTTATTGGAGCTTGTTTCACTGGGCAGCTAACACAAACACAGACACACACAAACCCAGTGGTCATGGCAGGGAGGCGGGAACTTCATCACAATTGGCTTTAAATGGCCTTCGTCGGGCGTCTCATCCAATGAGAGACTATGTCGTTGAGCCGTTGCGTGGCAACTCACAGCCAGGGAAGAAACATGCATTTTTTATTTTAAAACTTTTCCCAMCGTCAGGCTGGAAATAAGTAAAGTTCTCTGTAAGCACTGCAACGCAAAACTGTCTCACCACCGAAGTAGTTTGAGCCTGAAATATCACTTCAGTTTAAAACCAGGGTAAACAGAGGGAGGTTCTGAAGGAGGCTGAGAACCGTGTTGGAGAAAAAAATAAAATAAAATAAGGCTGGCTTGTTTTGCCTTATTTGTTTAAAGTTTTTGAAAACGCATCGCCCCTTTTTTTATATAAAACAATCAGAACGGGTTTATTGATTTTGGKTTTGAGCTAAATAACAAATAAAAATTTAAGCTCCTATGTTCAATATGGGATCTATCGTAAAACCGCTGAATGGCGCAGTGTAGGTCGGGCACGTCTACATTCCTGCCAAATTTCATGTTGATAATGAGATTAATTGCGATTATTCATGATTAATCGCAAAAATATCTTGAGATTAATCATGATTAAACATTTTAATCTATCTATTTCTCACAACATGTTTGGTTTTTCTTACTATCAAATAAAGTCAAAGTGACAAAAGCAAACTGTAAAACAATAAATGACTATATAGTAAAATCAGAGCATTTGAAATGGATTAAAGCCTGAGATWATTTTAGTGGTGAACTGACGCCTTACTAATGAACTAATCTGCATGAACTGTATTTTTATGCTACTTTGCCTGATTTCTGGCCAAGTCGTGTGACTGCAGAGTGCATTAGTCGACTTTACAACCCAGCAAATGTGTGTCAACTCAACCATTAGGTTTTTACAAGRAAACTAAATATTCTGTGTTGTGCACCTTCCAAAGCCTTCTGTTCTTTTTTTCTTCCAGGCCTGAAAAAAAAGTACTCTTGTTTTTATAAGAATCTGATGTTAGATCATAACATCACCTGGTGGAACATGCCTCACTGTGAAAGGGGAGGAAAAAAAATCTTCCAGTCAGAGCTGCAATTGTTTAAGATAGGACTAAATCCTAAATAAGAAGCACATTAATCAGTCTTGTCTTATGCTCACAGAAATCCTTCCATGAGCCACATTTTCCAAGTCTTTGCAGCAGTCTAACAAGAACCAAGAAGACATACAGAACTGTATCAAAAATGACAAATCAAAAAGTCAACCTGTGGTCCTTTAGGCCCTGGAGGACCTTGGGGTCCTCTTGCRCCTTGCAAACCCTGAAACAGCCAAATGCTAAATTCAATAGGATGAACTAAATGWATGCATCAGTGGATGAGAGGGAAAGTTCCTACCTTTGGTCCAGGTGGGCCGTTGGGCCCTGGTGCTCCGATGTCCCCAGGAAACCCCTTGAAAAAAAAAAAAAACAATCATGGTAAAGGGACTGGGTAAAGCAAAACAAAAAAAAAAATGTCCTCCAAGGTTAAGGCCCTGTCACAGAATAACACTTTAGACAACTTATGCCAACTCATGAAACTTTTGTTAGGACTAAAATACTCATAGTTTTTATTTTCCATCAAATTGTTAGGACTGCAGTATGTTTGCTGAATGTCCGAAAGAGTCTTCCAGAATATTTTATATTTWTTCCATCTWCAGCTGAGACATCTTCACTGTTGGTAAAAATGTTCATAAGTTGGCATAAGGGCCTTCAGTAATAGAAGGTTTAAGTTGGCAAAGGTTGGTAATACAGAGTCCGTGTACGTTTGGGTCATTCCATTTTCATTTTATAAACAGATATTGAAAAACAAAAAATGGATGGTTATTCTATTTTATATTCCAAAAATGGGAAAATGTCCTTTTCATTCTTGTCAAACCGGAAATTAAACACTGTCCTTATTTAAGGTGGAACTAGTTATGTTTTTTTAATAACAGGCCTGTAAAT